TAGCAGACGTCAGCCATCACATGCGCCTGGTGGCGTCTTGGCCTCCAGATGGTGTGGATGAATGAACTATCAGGAGCGACTGAAGAACAAGAAAACAGCTGGCTTGGCAGGAGGTTAAGAGGAGGAAACCAGCTGTTACAAGGACGGGGCGACAGGAGACAGGAGGTCGAGAGGAACAGCCTCCGACTAGGAAGAACAGATTGATAGGGCCTGATCCAGCTGTCTCAAGGACGCCAGACCAAGTAGGAATTTTAAGCAGGAGAGGAAACTGTCAGCGCATTCAAAATGGTACTTGGCAAGGGTCAAGAGCAGGCGCCCGACAAGGCCTTTGCTGTCCCGCCTGCCTCGCCTGCCTTGCTGGCCACTGACCCCAGCGCGGTGACCTCTCAGCCTTCGGCCGAAGAGACTCAGTCCGCCAAGGTCACGTCTACTGACTCTCAGACCGCAGGTGATATTTCCCAGACAACTCCCGATGATTCCGTGAACACGCAGATAGATGTTGCTGATCTTAGTACCTCTCTGAGTACTATAGCTAACTCCCAGCCTACAAATTCTGATCTGAAGGTCCCTCAGCTCGTAAGCGGACACTTTGAGGATTCTGTAAGCACAAGGGCTGATTCTAAGTCCTCTCAGGCCCAAACTGAAGAAACTGACACTTCTGGTCCCATTGACCGTAACAGTGAGCCCACACAAGACTCATCAACGATATCTGAGGTCTCACAGACATCAAAATGTGGGACTGAACCCATTCAAACTATAGTTGCTAGTTCCATGACCTCCCAGACCTGTGATTCAAGCACTATCACTCCCCAGAAGACTAATGCTCTCCCCGAGACCCCACAAACTGCAACCAAAAATAAGACACGGAAAAGGGGAGGGGGTAAAGGTAACCAAAAGGTAGAGGAGACAGTTGAAGAACCGGCAGAAGTCAGTGGAACAAGCAACGCTGGAATAGCTGCCACCAGTAAGCCCTCGATTGCCCCGTCACCACCTAGGTTCTTGCGAGTGAAGGGTCCCGATGGTCAAGTGACCACATTCATGCTGGTGGTATGTGTAACAGAACATTGTAGTGGATTTGGCCAAAGCTTTTTGCTGTAAACATGGTTGTGTGTAAACCATCATGTGTACAGATATGATAAACATGTAAACACTTTAACTATATTATTGTGGATTTGGTTGAGGCTTTTGTGGTGTTACAAAGACATTGCTTGGGGATTGTGCTTTGGTATAAAACTAGTTATTCTTGTAGACTATTCCTGAGTGGTTTCATGTATACACTTCTCTTTGTCGCACTCTACTTATTCATTTTCTGCATATTTTCATCATCATTATCATTATCATTATTGCTATTATTATTATTTTGTTATTGTTGTAATTTTTGATCGTTATTATTATCATTGTTGTTAGTACTATTATTATTATTATTATTATTATTATTATTATTATTATTATTATTATTATTATTATTATTACTATAATTGGTTTAAATATTATTCATGATAATGAGCATGATTATTATGATTGTTATTTTGATGGTTGTGATTTTGATTATTCTATTATCATTATTATGATGATGATTATGATTGATTGATTGTTATTGTTATCAATTATTATTATTATTATTATTATTATTATTATTATTATCATTTTTATTATTATTATTATTATTATTATCATTTTTATTATTATTACTATTATTATTATTATTATTTTTATTATTACTACTATTAGTATTATTGTTATTAGTTGAGTTTTATCATTTTTATTAATATTACTGATTATTATTATATATTATTGGCATTATTATTGATATTATTACTGTTATTGTCATCTTTTATTGTATTATTTTTTATTTGTGCTATCATCATCAATCATTGATTGTTACGAGAATTTGTGATACCATCCTACTCTCTTCCTTTCATCTTTCATATGTAATTGTTTAGTGAGGGTTTTATTGAGGGTTGCGGCTTGTGTATCTTCTGTGAGCTCTTCACGCCATACAGGATGAAATAGCTAGGGAACTCTTTGGGCCTGAGTGTGACAGCATTATGTGTGGGCAACAGTGTGTGTTTTTTAATTATTGTTTTACTGAAATTATGTGAACTCTTCCTAATATTACTTTTTTATAGAGGAGTTGGAGACCAAGAGTAAATCAAAAATGTTTGTAATAAGATACTTTGAAACTGCTGACTGATATATTAAAATTTTGATTAGAAAGTAACTTTTAACTTCATGATAACTAGTTGGTGGAAAAATTGCATAATTTTAAAAAGTAGATTAGATGTTAGATAAAGATAGTATTGGTATTCAGACCAAAGTTTATTTACTTTCATGTAAATGCAGATAGCTAAAGTTCTTAAACCTTTGGTAAATGTAAATGTATTTATTATATTATCTTTGAGGAATGTCAATTGTTAGTTTTATTAACTTTAAGTCCTATGACTCAACCCAGGAAAGCCAACTTCTGTGCTGATCAGATTATTTTTGCTTTCTTTGGCAGGGCCCAAACGCAGGACAAGGCCCACCCCAGTTTTTCGGACCTCCCCCTGCAGGACCTCCTCCCCAGGGCTACGTGCCCCCATATCAGCCACCACCACAATACTCCCCTGTGGTGTCTCCGCCATTGACACAAGGTAGGGATAACATTTAGCCAGTCATTATTGTCTATGGAATTTTAATAAAAGATTATGCTAAAGTGTGCATGGTATTTATATTTAATCCTCATGCTCTTTCAGCCTCGCCGCCACCTCACTACACCCAGAAGTCAGAACGGCACATGCGTCAGTATGAAAAACCTCGAAAGTATTATCAGCGACAACCACAGCACCAGCATGTTAACAAATCAGGAACGAGCAGCCTACACAGCACCCCTCCCTTATCCCCTAAGAAAGGTATGGAGGCAGATTTTGTATGATCATTCCTTATTCTTTAGAACCAGCAATGTAAGACATGAATGTTGATTTTGATTTTGCTCATTCTGTGTACAGCATTTTATTAAATGCAGTTTAATATTGTTAGAAATTGAGGAATATTTGTACTATTTTTTACTGCAGTCTTAAAATTTGGGCTTATTATCTCTTTATTCCTGCAAATGGCAGTGAAGTGTACTATTTACATTTTGTAAGTAATAGTACACTACATTCAAAGCTTTTGAATCATTCTTTACACAGAAAATTTTGATATCCAGTTACATTGAATCTTTCATTATGTGAATTACTATGGCTAATTATTGTCTGTGTTCATGACTGGCATTGTTTGCCACAATTAAAACTGCATTATAAAATGCTGATATTGCTTAAAGTCTTCGAAGTTTGAAGTGAGGATTTTTCTGCTGTAGAGGGAGGGATACTGCAAATTGTGCTATCTATGATACAGAACATTGTCCACAAAGATACAGTTACAACTCTATCATGAAATGCTACAATTACCTTCTGGTTTTGAAATTGAGAGTGATACATTTTTGGTTCTTATTTAGTACATATGTAAATTGTGCAAAAAAATATTAGATACTTTGTCTCAGTCCAAAAATCCGTACTAGTCCAGATGAAAAGGTCATATATGCTTCAGTAGATCCAGTTGCTTACCTACAATCTCCTTAATAAAGATTATATTCAAATGCATGATTTTCTAATTTTGAAATGTGGGTCTTGCATTGACTGTTGCCTTGGTGGGCAGTCCATGATTTATAATACACGATATTGCTTAGTTGTTTAACAAAACAAAAGATACATAAACATTTACTTGTATTAGTACTAGATTTGGCAAATTAGGTTATTGACAGTGGCACCTCCTAAGGTTTATTTTGTTTGTGATAATTTCTTCAGACAATCAGTGAAATAGTAACATATTTGAATGTCGATGTATCAGGACATTTTAGTAATTTATATATCTCAAAGTCACCTTCTGAAAGAGTGGGAGCCGCTTATGCACTCACCCTGGGGTAATGAGATGGAGGGAACTGCATGATTATATGTTGTATTTGATAGTACGGAATGCATTTTATGTAAATACAGTTTCATTCAAGTTTGAGAATATAAGCTCTATAAAGGATTGCCTTTTCTATGATTATTTATGTTCTGGATTTATCATCACCCCAAACAGAACTACTGCCCCGAAAAAATGCCGAAGAAGAGATCCATGCTGAGGACGGTGAAGACCCCAGAAACAACCTTCACCTCCTCCTGTCTCAGGTTAAACCCCCCAAGGTATGTTCCTGACAGTCTATAACTTGCCTTGCATTTTTTTTTTATAAGCTTTTTTTTACGTAAGCTTGTGTATGGATACTGATATATGTATGTCTTTTTTTTACCAAGTTGTTCCTTTCCTGCAGGTGATAAACTTGACTCCCTATGAAGCTGTTCTCCAGTGGTCAGCACCGGAGTTAAGCAGTCAGCAGCAGGAGGAGATCCCAGTCTCAGAACTCCTGTATGAGGTCTTCCTAAACAACAGCCTGCACAAGTCCATTGCTGCCACGCAACTTACGATTAGTGGGCTAAAACCGGCCACAGAATATAGGGTCTAGTGAGTGTTGTTTGATTCTAAGGAGACTTAAAACTTACCAGATGTGTTACTACTAATAGCATAAAAAATCAGTATGAATATTTTGTCATGGAATGTATCATTAGCATTTAGATTTTAAAATTTTCCTCTGTCAAAATGTTGTTGTAAAAGCTCTGACTATCTACAGCTTGCAATGTGTATGTGGAGGCGTGCGTGGTGATCCAACCAACGTGACTCCGTTCCACACTCATTCTACTGTGCCCGACACTCCACAACAACCTAGGCTTGCATATAGAACGAAAACATCATTACAATTCAGGTTTGTGTTAATCCTAAAAGATTTTTTTTGCAATGACAATAAGACATGTGAAAAGATAAAAATTTAGTATATAATGTATCATTACCTTGTCTTAATTATTGCAAGAGAGTTGACTCAAATTTAATTTTTCATGTCTGTTCACAGTCATGAAATGAGTTGCTATTTGTAATATGATTTTGAAGATTAGATTATAAAATTAGATGTTACCTTTTGCAAGTATGTTGATTAAAAATTGAAATGTATCAGGAGTTTGCAAAAATCTTATGATTTAAACTCTCTTTGTTTTCAGATGGGGTGCTGTTAAAGAGAATGGTTCAAGGGTGACAGCTTTTGTCCTGGCTGAGGGAGAGAGAGGAAAGCAGCACACCATCACTAAACTCACCCCCAACACTCGCTACCATGTCCGTCTGGCTGCAGTCAATGATCATGGGCAGAGGTAAGATATGCAAGGTTCTCTGTAGACTACAATGATATGCTTATGAAAACAAGAAGGGATATTATAGCTTTGCTTGTTAAATATGTTTTGTTTTTTTTGCTTACCCAACTCTTTTCCCTGCAGTGACTTCAGTCCGGAGGCAGTGGCATTTACAAGTGGCGTGGCACCTTTGCAGCCTTCCCCACCCAACTTAGAGCAAGCTTGTATTAATTCGCTTAGTTTAGGATGGTCTAAACAGCCTCTTGAGGAAACGTTTACCCTTCAGATGGAAGATTCATTGAATGGATATGGCTTTCGCCCAGTGTATAATGGCAGCGACACAAAATATGAATGTCAAGGCCTCAGAAGAAATGCTGATTATAAGTTTAGGGTAATGGCAAAGCAGTTATATTTTATTGACTCACAGAAAGTGAAAGAATGACAGTATACTTATAAAATTATGATTTAATTGGTTCCATGTTAGAAGTGTGTGAATAATGTTCCTACTAATATTATTTTACTTGGCAGCTGTTTTCCCACAATGAAGAAGGCACATCACTTCCTTCGGATATTGTTTGTTACCACACACTGCCTGACCGCCCAAAACCACCTTCCCCTGTAAGCGTAAAAGGTCGGCCCAAATCAAACAGGTTGTTATTAACCTGGTCACCTCCTGCCGACCATGGGGGCTCTACAGTGACAGACTACCGTCTGGAAATCGACAGAGGCAGTGGTTCGTATTTATTTTAGATAAGACAGATATCTAATTTCTCTCAAAAAGTGTTTTTAGATAATGTTGCACAAGGTTTTTTTCTTATATCCATGAAAGATTTTTATTTTATCATTTGTGCTTAAATTGATAACAAGAGTATTTGCCTAAATTAAGTCCATTTACTAACAAAAAGTCCATTTTCACTCCCAAATTCCAGGTTTTGAGCTCATTTACTCTGGGAAAGACACTGAATTTGAATGTTTGAACCTTGAACCAGGGAAGAGCTACCAAGTACACGTTTTATGCATAAGCTTAGGCGGCCTGAGTGACTGGAGTGAAACTGCAGTGGTGACCACAGAGGCAGTGCACCCAGGTGTCTGCCAGCCACCCCATGTATTGGGGAAACCTAAGGCTTCCATGCTGCAGCTAAAATGGGGTATGTAGTTATGTTGTTCTGTCTTCCTGTCTGCACATACATCTTGATCTATGCATTGTCTTTCTTATTGCAAAAACAGATATGGATGTTGAGAGATTAACTTTGTCATCCTGTCAAAATAATCACACCTTTTTGATGAATGCTTTCTTGGTGTTCGACCATTTTTTAATTTCTCAGTGGCAAATAAAAAAAAGAAAAAGTTTAAGCAGAATAGAGTTAAAGTATAGGTGTTAGATACTGTATTCATAATTGAAATACATTTCATATCAAGATGTGTGAATTTGGTCCATTTAACATTTGCACTGAAAATTCTATAGCAACAATATCATTAAAGTATGAATTTGAAATTAGTTAACTTCCACTAATGCAGATTATGTACTGTTATACACCACCCTATATGTAGTGAATTAAACGGTTGAGAATATTCAGATTTACACATGAATACATTTTCATCACATTATAGGTGAAGACCATTCCATTTTATTTTACCAAAACCTAATCTTTAGTATTGTGTGATAATGTTCGTTTACAAATTGATTTCATCTGATAAGTAGCTTTAATGGAAACAGCCCTTGAAATATGCCTATTCACTGAGCCAAATGTAAATCCTAGGTAAATGTGGGAAGCCTTGATGTCATCTCTGTAGACAATTGGCCAGTGTCTGATGCAGAATTAACTTATTAAGTTCTCCAGTCTATTTACCTTGTTGCACAGATGTAGTAGAAGCTGCAGTGTGTTGAGAGGGGAATCCTGTCAGATATAACCATTAAAATGAAGATTATCCAGGAGTGGACTAATAATAAGTTAATGATAAATAGATGTATAGATAGATATGAATGAATAAACAAGATACCATCAGTTTGAGTCAGAAAATTGAGATGATTCATTTGTGGACTGACAAAAAAGGAGAGTGAATGGAAGAATAACTGAGTGACAGAATAAAGAATGAACGAATGAAAGAAAAAGAGAAAAGGTAAATGAATTGAATGGACAGATGGACAGAGGGATTTTCCTTTCTTGGCTGTTTCTCATAGCTGGTTTATACCATGTGAAGAGCTTGATAAATTGGTGATGTCACAAGCAGGTATTTCCTTATGTGATAAAAGAAATCATTTCACTGGTTTAAAGACAAAGCTCTAAATCACTATTTAGCTTTGAGGATTATGATTGCTTTTTGAATTTGCAGTTTATTTATTGATTTGTTGTATTTTCAGCCCATCCTGAATATAATGGTGGAGCCAGTGTTACTGAATTCCAAGTAGAGATGACGGCACCAGACAACGAGAGAAGGCAGGTCTACTGTGGCCGAGACCTGGAATGTACTGTTGCAAGGTCGGTCTAAAGAAAGATACAATAACTTCCAGTTTTGTTATATGTTCTTCTTTTCCATTGTGTTTGAGTGAAAGTTTGATTTTACTTGTTTGTATAAGGGTTTTGAGGAAAGGAAAATCTAAACTTATCCGACTTTTTTTCCCTATATAGCTTACTACCAGGTCGGCCCTACATCTTCCTTGTGCGTTGTGTAAATCGAATGGGACCAGGGCCATGGTCAGAGCCTCTCGAGGTTGTGAGTGGTGCTGGCCCCCCTGATGCGCCTCACTCCCTACACCTGGCTTGCCGAGGCCCACACTCTGTCCACCTGGCCTGGGAGGAACCTATAAACAATGGAGCTGCTATTGAGCAGTATAGTGTTCAAGTTGCGGAGGTAATAGAGAAAGCTTTGACTACTATTTTTGTTATTTTTTATGTATATTTTTTAATTAATATTTTTTAACAATTTACAAAGTAGTTATTTCTCCCTTCAGCCAATTCCTATGGGCCAGCTAAAATTATAAAAAACCTAAACTCGTGGCTGCATGTAACATGGTAGTGTGCGTGTTTTGGGGGGGTAACCAGTACATTTGCTCTCATACCATATAAATGGTAATAAGAGCATTCATATTATTTTATGGCCAAAAACATCCAGCCAGCTGATTAGACTGTAATACCAATGGCTTGACATGTCCCCAGCAAATTAGCCATTCTTGGCATGTAATGACATACATACATACAACTCATTATAAATTCAGAGTGAGCATATCTACAATAGTTGTAATGTATGTTTGTAGGTCTTCATTTATACTCCCAAAAGTTACCTTGGAAATTTTGTTGCATGTAGATCTCAAGTTTTTCTATTTTTCATTACAGGTCTCATGTCCTCATGCAGAGTCCTCAGAATCTTCATCCACTTGTGGGGACCCTGAGTCTGACTTGACATTCAACAATGCTTACACTGGGTCTACACCAACTGCAGAAGTGCGCAACCTGGCCCCAGCTACCACCTATGCCTTTAGGTAACAAAATATTCCTAGACTTTTTTGGAAGTATAAAGGCAGGAATGTACTTTGATGACTTTAGCCTCTCCTTAAAGGTTTTACCAATGAATTTAGGACACAAATCTACTGTTGATGCTCCTTTGACCTTAACCCATTGCCGACAGTTAAAATTTTTGCAAATTGACGTATGCATGCGCTTGTTGGCGCACATCGCCAGTTTCCCCTGTTTGCGTCCAGCTCGATCGGTAGTTTGCGAGCGACATATAACACCTAAAAGCTTTTATTTTGCCAAAATATATAAAAATATTAAAATTTTGAAGGTTTACCTTCATTATAGGTGCCAATGCCTAAAATCTTTACCATATAAATGAAACCACTACTATCGGAGAAAAACAACCTCCGTCTGATGAGCCAGTTGCGCGGGAATGGGCATGACAGCCTTGGCATGTACGTACATGCCACCCGGCAGCAACGGGTTAAGAAGATTAACCGGGTCTTCTGTTAGCCTGAGTGGACTGCATTCCAGGGATGCATTTTTTGTTATTGATTGCTTTGCCAGTGCCTGCAGTTGCTTGCCTCATGCCTACCTGGTTCCATAAACAGAAGGATTTCAGAACTATTGTTTTTCTTTTTCGTTAAATCTAGTTTGTGCATTGTAGGCTTTTGTACCATAGTATCATCATGGTACTGTCTTATCATTCATTCTTTTATTTGTTTTGTTTCATTTGTGATTTATGATTTTGTCTTGCTATCGTTATCTGTAGACATTTGCCATACTAACACTATACTAGAATTAGTTTAAGATTATGTAGAGGGAAGAACAGAAACAGTAAAAGGATATTGTATATGCATACAAAAGCATAGATCCAAGTAATGATAACATGGTGGTGAGTAGTGGATTGCCAATGGTTGGGCGGTTGATAGTGAATCGTCAGTGTCGTAGGGTACCTTTTTTATGAGGCAAGCAACATTTTTGGTGGAAAGGAAGTGAAAAAGCTTAGTATGACTTATTGTCTGGGAAAGGCAGAAGGTTTAAGTGATGTAGAAGTGCTGCGCCCACCCATTACCCATTTGGGCAGCCAGTTCAAAGAAAGGGTTAGCAAGAGAGCAAAATGGATTAGCTGTATACACATACTTTTGATTTAAAAAATCTAGATATTCTTTTTGAATACATCAATTAAAAATTTGAAGAAACTATGGAGAGATGGGAGTGTATAGTCATAAACATGAGAACTTTTTTCGCATGAATGTCATGCATTCCAATTATAGACTGTACTGTTTGACACAGGTAAATTCAATAGCA